TTTCTTGTGAGACTGTCCATACAGCAGGACAAGCAACCTACCTGAGGGGAACATGGACAATGAACCCCAACTAAGGTGGAATAGCTCCATCCACGGCATCTTCTCAACGACTGTTGCACATACAGTGACTACGCCAACTGAAACCACAATTTATTGCACAAGTTGTGCCACCTTGATTATGCCTGCTACAGCTTCACCACCAGCCCCCTCTACTACGAAACTTCCAGGCTCTGCTCTTTTTCTAGATAGCGAATGTGGTGGTGATAATCGTCTATAATGCTTCGCGACTTGCCGTTTGAATTGCGTGTTTACGCTATAATATATACATGTACGTGATCTTGGACACAGGTGTGTACTATCACAAAATGCGTATACGTTTTTTAAAAGTGGTGCACAAGCATCTCCTTATTTATACGCTACCGCATTACAGAATGTCCCAGGACAATTGTGAGTCTGTGGATGGCTTGAAGGTATGACAACTGCCATGTCCTACGGCAATGTCATAGGCCAGATTCAGCAGAGCAAGACTTACAGACGAAACCAGTCTTGCAGAACCAAGTAAGCTCGCAGGAATATGTGCGAAGGAACTTTTACTGAACAAATTGAAGCCTATTCTCCAGTGGAAACATACCCACATCATTTGTGCACATTGCACTAATGCCTATGCGAATTGTTTCTTGGGAAAGCATGCTGGGTGTAACTACCGACGGAATGTGTGCCAGTTGCGTAACTCACCACGCAAGAAGTTGGACATGTCTTGCAGTGTGATAGCTGGTCTGGTGTTGCTGCTCTCAGCCACCTCAGTGGTTGGCACAGGAGGTGAGTGACTGAGACACTGAAACATACACAGAGAGAGACACACAGAGGTATTAAGGTAGCTACCACTGCAGATGCTAACTCTACTGAGTGTGTGAGTCAGCAGGAGCTGGCTGCTGTGAAGGCAGTGATGGAGAGGAAAGTGGACCAGCTACACTCACAGCTACACTACTGGCAGAGTGTAAATGTTGACAATATTTATCGAAACTACTGCAGCTCTTCCAATGACTCAGGTACAGTCTAGGCTGAATGTATATAGCAACTATAGCTGTGGTAGCTAGCTACATAGCTGATGTATAGGCTCTCTTGTACCTCCTGTAGTTACTGAAGACAGGAAGAATTGTGGAGAGGATTCAGCTGTGATTGCTGTCAACAGTATCTCTCCTTCTGATTGTCAGTCTCACCATAGCTCTCGTGATCCAATGTGTGCTCATCATCAGAATGAGGAGCTTCGGAACAAAGAGCTCCAAGAATGAGAGCGACCAGATCTATGACGAGATTCCTGCCGTTACTAAGGCAACTGATGTCCACGTCTCACTTAATGATGCCTATGCAATGGCCTCTCTCAGAAAGAATAGTAACAGCTCGATCTGACACTAACATTAATTCACATTAATTGTGTATTGAGCAGACTGTTCATGTTATATTTTCCCTTGTTGTCTCATATGATCAACCAGCTGATGATGCTACTTCTATTACCTATCAGGAGTTAATTAATTATCTCTTACATAATTATTATGTTTTATGACTGAGCATGTGTCCCTGTCTCACTTAATGATGCCTATACCATGGCCTATGCCACCACAGTGCTATAGCACAGCTGTTGAGGTTTGCCTTTGCCATGTAGATTTTAGCCCCTGCCCTGCTGAGCTGCCCTGGTAGCTCAGGGGGTAAGAGCACTCTGCCTACACTGCTGAGTGTCATGGGTTCCAATCCAACCCAAGGCAGCTATTTATTTTTTAAAGAGTTGTTCTGGGTATAGTTGAACTGTTTGCCTTTGCCTTGTGGCCACGTTGATGTAACAATTGAGCAAGAGCATGTCACTGTCACAACTAGGTAGATTAGTGGATATGACTGGCTGAGAGAATGATAGCTACATACACAGAGAGACACACACACACACAAGATGTTTGTGGAGGAACAGCTATACCACTGCATACGGCAATGACTGAACTTCTGAGTGTAGGAGCTGCCTACTGCAAGTACTGTATAGTAGCTGCCAACCAAATCTCACAATGTAGCAAGAACCAACATGTGTGTAGGATAGTGTGACACAGAGTTTCCCTTTGAGAGAGCATTTTTGTATCCTGGCCAAATTTCAATTAGTGATACTCACTATGACATACTGCATTATGGTTGAGTCAGGGAAACCACCACCAGTGGGTATGCAACGCAAGTTCAGTAGCTACGGCTTGCACTGTGCTATGATAGCTAATCGCTAATCTGGGTTTACTGTTTTTTGAGATACTGATACACACACAGAGAGAGACACACACACAGCGTGTTGGTGGAGGTAGGTGTACCAATCCAGATGCAATGTCTGACTGACTCAACCCTCTACACCTGTGAGTATAGTAGCTTGCTATACGTGACTCACACTCTCTGCCAGCCAAAAGCCCATTAGTGCTTCCAAGAAGTGCAGTATAAGAAGCAATCCCGTGTGTGTACTGTAAGCAACAATATTATGTTCCTCTCTGTGATAAAGCATGTGACACACCCAGCACCACTGTATCCTTGCCAAATTCCAATATTAAAGTCACTATGACACTCAGTCTCAGGAAAAAGCACTCCAATTTTTGTGTTACGGAGTTCACTGTTTCGCACTGTGATGATAATAATAGCTGGTCTGGTTTTGCTGCTCTCGGCCACCTCAGTGGTTGGCACAGGAGGTGAGTGACTGAGAGACTGATGCATACGCAGAGAGACAAGGTGTTGGTTAGGGTAGCTACCACTGCAGATGCTAACTCTACTGAGTGTGTAAGTCAGCAGGAGCTGGCTGCTGTGAAGGCAGAGATGGAGAGGAGAGTGGACCAGCTAAACTCACAGCTACACTACTGGCAAAATACAACTGTCAACATTCTCAAGGACCACTGCTCCTCTATCAATACAGGTAGGAATTTATTAAGTCTCTTACTTACAGCACTATATCATTAAAATTTCCAGATGATGGGTTTGGCAGTATAAGGAGTGGGGAAACTGTCCTGGTGTCTACTGTTTTCAACATCACTCAGATCAGTAAATATCCCATTGAAAGATTACCGCCTATCAACATATGCTTTTCTTCAGGCGAAGAAGCAATAAGCAGACAATTGAACTCACTGGAAGACTCCATAAGTATAAGTTAAAGAGAGTAGATAGTTCATTCATAATTATTTCTCATTTAGATCAGAAAATAAAAGAAGGGGTTGATGTTATAATGGAGAAGATGAGCCAGTCAATGGACGCAGTGAAGCCCGTAGACAGTGTCCTAACGACACACCGACTACAAGTCTCCTCAATAATGCAGCACACAACTGTAGCCACATCCTGCACCAACACTGTCAGGCTGTCTCAGGTAATCATAGCATTCATTGCCTTCTAAACCTTAATGCCTTGTTGTCACAGGTTACTACTGGCTGCAGAGCTCCCCTGGCTATGCAGTGAAGGTGTTCTGTGATATGGAGAGGGTGTGTGGGTGTGATGAGGGAGGGGGGAGGGAGGAGGGTGGATGAGAGTGGCCGATATCAACATGACTAGACCCAATGAGAACTGTCCAGCAGGGTTCAGAAAGGTCACTGCCTCTGGCAAGACAATGTGTGGAGGGCAAAGCCGATCATGCATCAATACCACTTTCAGCTCACATGGACTCCAGTACAGTCGAGTGTGTGGGAAAATCATTGGCAACCAGTTTGGAAGTACAAATGCATTTAGTAATAATCTTAACAGCCCTGGATCTATGACACTAACGTTGTTGATGGCATAGTCCTATCTCATGGCTCCCCACGTAACCACATCTGGACTTTTACTGCTGGAATCGGTCAGAACGTAACTAATCGAAATGGCTGTCCCTGCAATGGTGCTTACAGTGGAACTATACCACCCTTTGTTGGCAATGATTACTTCTGTGACAGTGGATATCGCTATGATACTGAGCCTATACAGACCTACCTAACCAATGACAAACTCTGGGACGGTTCTAGCTGTGATAGTGGCTCCTGCTGTACCTTCAACTCTCCTCCGTGGTTCTGTAAAAACTTGTCCACACCAACTACTGACGACATTGAGCTACGTCTCTGTCTGGACGAGGCTCTCAGCAATGAAGACGTGCCCTTTGAAACAGTGGAGCTCTACGTTCAGTGAGCCTCTGGTGTGTAGAGACTATAGTTAGCTTAAACAGTGTGTGTGTGACTAACATTTCATTAACTTAACTGTGCACAATGTGTGAATTAGTGGTTCTGCCAAATCAAATGTTCTCTTAATCACAAAGCAGCACTATTGCGCTTGTATATATGGAGTGATGCGAGGGATAACATGCAACACACCTTAGATTATTGGATACCAGAGAACATTTTTGCTACACCTGTTGTTGCCCTGACTCACTTTAGCCTTCAAACAAAGTAAAAGAGTTTCATTCGTGAGAAAGTTTATACACAGCTGGGTGCATGCACCCCTCAGAAAAATACTAGCTAGTCTGGTTCTCCAAACATCACAGTGCTGACACTGGTTTGAGGTGCTCTTTCATGTTCTCCGGGAGTCAGGTGCAAATATTTTTCCAAAGGGTGGCAAAATGAAACATGGCAGCAAATAATACTATAGAGTCATAAGACCTGTGCGGCAAGAACTATTGAAATTGCTTAGACCGGTCTTGCATATGTACATTGGGAAGGTTGGAAAGGAGTTGGCATGCATCCTTTCACTGGAATATACAAGGTGAGAAGATTCATCTATATATAATATAGACAGCTGAAGATCCAAATGTACTCTTAATTCTACCAACAATGCACCAAAACATAGAGAACCTCTGTAGCCAGCAACTGGATGTGCATGTGGAACGAAAACATGTTTAGTGGTCCAGGAACCCGCCACTAGAGTCCCGTAAATAAGACATGACATTTTCTCTGCTAGCTATGGCCCAGCTGTGCCAACGTTCAAGAAAATCGTTATGCACACAGTAACACTTGTCATTCACTTTTAGCCTCACCAGAAGAAAACACATCCAGTTGGTGGCTACAGAAGTATGGACATGTCTCGCTGTGTGATAGCTGGTCTGGTTTTGCTGCTCTCAGCCACCTCAGTGGTTGGCTCAGGAGGTGAGTGACTGAGACACTGATACATACACAGAGAGAGACACACAAGATGTTGGTGGAGGTATTATGTAGCTACCACTGCAGATGCTAACTCTACTGAGTGTGTGAGTCAGCAGGAGCTGGCTGCTGTGAAGGCAGAGATTGCGAGTAAAGTCGACAAGCTACACTCACAGATCAACTACTGGCAAGGGGTGACTGTCAACAACATTTTCCAAGACAACTGCAAAACAGGTTACACTGCCACCACTTGACTTGGCTTAGCTACTGAGCATTTATTTTTTAAACTAATACGGGTGGTCACGACTGAATCCACCATTTCACTCACTTGGTGCATTAAAAACAAGAGTTGTTTGTGGCATTACATAAGGCCCCTTTGTTTCATTATTACTCACATTATGTGTTAAGTAGCTAACTACAATGTGGATAGGCCATAGCCTATCTAGCATATATAATCACTGCTAATGCACTTAAACTTTTTTAATCTTACGCAGTAAGCAACTCTTCTGAAACCTCTCCTGGATGTAGTGGGGCGTTCACCAACCCCAGCTGTGATTGTGCCCAGCAAGCTCTTCTTGCAGTGATTATTGTTCTTATAACAGTCGTCGTCATACAATGTGTACTCCTCGTTAAAAAGAAGCGAACACTGATAACCCTGTGGGCTACCACTAGTGGACGAGTAGCAAGCTCACAGTGAGAACATATCAATGGACGCAACGACCA